CAAGGAGGCCGTAACCTCCGTTCAGCGATTCCCTACGACCACAGCCAGATGTTGCCTACAACTCCTGGGGCACATGGCAGCGTGCACGCACGTAGTCGAGCTCGCCCGTCTCCGGCTCCGACCGCTGCAGCTGTGGTTGGCTCAGGTATATCGCCCCAACAGGGACCCCTTGGACATGGTCGTCACGGTCCCGGCTCGGGTATCGGATGCCCTCAGTTGGTGGCTCAACCAGCAGCAGGTTCGCGCAGGGGTCCCATTCACCGCCCCACAACCGACTCTGACGCTAGTAACAGACGCATCGGATCTGTGTTGGGGTGCGCACCTAGGGGACCAGCGCACTCAGGGCTTGTGGTCCAGGGAGGAACGGCTGCTCCACATCAACCTGAAGGAGCTGAGAGCGGTTCGCCTCGCCTGCCAGACCTTTCACGCCACCATAAAAGGACACAGCGTGTCAGTTCTGACAGACAACACTACCGCGATGTTTTACATAAACAAGCAGGGCGGGTCCCGGTCCTCTCCCCTCTGCCGCGAGGCTCTCCTCCTCTGGGACTTCTGCATAGCCCATTCAGTACAACTTCGGGCGGCGTATCTCCCCGGGGTCCAGAACGGGCTGGCGGACTGTCTCAGCCGGTCCTACCTCAGGCACGAGTGGCGGCTGAGACGGGACGTCCTCCGTTCCATTTTCCTGAGGTGGGGGTTTCCCCAGGTAGATTTATTTGCCAGCAAAGACAACAGTCAGTGCCCGCAATTCTGCTCGTTTCAGGGTCACAGCCCAGGCTCAGTGGCAGACGCCTTTGCTATCCCATGGGGCGGGAGCCTGAAGTACGCCTTTCCCCCATTCCCACTCATTCACAAGGTCCTCCTGAAGGTCCGCAGGGACAGGGCGACAGTCATCCTAATCGCCCCGGCGTGGCCACGCCAACACTGGTTCACAACTCTGGTGGAACTCTCCGTGACCTCTCCGATGGCCCTTCCCCTACATCACGACCTCATCACTCAGGATCGGGGTCACCTACTCCACCCGAACCTGTCATCGCTACATCTCACGGCATGGCTACTCTCTGGCTAAGTGGGGTGGAGCACAGGTGTTCACACGAGGTTCAGCAAATCCTACTTGGTAGTAGGAAACCCTCCACGAGGGCAGCCTACCTGGCTAAGTGGAAGCGCTTCTCCTTGTGGTGTGCGCCCCACCACTCGCAGCCTTTACAGGCCTCGATACCTCTGATCCTCGACTACTTGCTGCACCTCAAGCGTCAAGGCCTCGCCCCCGCTTCTATTAAGGTGCATCTGGCCGCCATTTCGGCGTTCCACCCTGGGGAATCGGGCAGATCCGTGTTCTCCAACCCCACGGTGGTCCGTTTCCTCAAGGGTCTGGAGCGGGTGTTCCCCTACTCGCGCCCTCCTATACCCCCGTGGAACCTCAATCTGGTCCTCACTAAACTTATCGGGCCGCCCTTTGAACCCCTGGCCTCTTGCTCCCTCACGCACCTTTCATGGAAGGTCGCGTTCCTCGTGGCCATTACCTCGGCTAGGAGGGTGTCCGAGTTGAGGGCCCTCACCTCGGAGCCCCCTTATACCATCTTTTACAAAGACAAGGTGCAGCTTAGGCCTCACCCTAAATTCCTCCCGAAGGTGGTTACGAATTTTCACATGGGGCAGGACATTTGTTTACCGGTATTCTTCCCTAAGCCCCATACGGACCCGAGCCATCGCAGCCTGCACACCCTGGATGTTCGGCGGGCATTGGCTTTTTATCTGGTCCGTACCAGGCCTTTCCGTAAGTCATCTCAGCTGTTCGTGGCCATTGCGGAGCGCATGAAGGGCCAACCGATTTCGACGCAACGCCTGTCGGCGTGGATAGTGCACTGCATACGTACGTGCTACGAGCTCGCCAACACGCCTGCTCCTCAGATCAGGGCTCACTCCACTAGAGCCCAGGCGTCCTCGACGGCCTTCTTGGCACAGGTCCCGCTCCAGGAGATCTGCAAGGCAGCCACCTGGTCGTCGGTGCATACCTTCACAGCCCACTACGCGATCCACCATCAGACTAGAGATGATGCAGTGGTCGGCAAGGCGGTGCTGCAATCAATTATTCCTTGACTCCTACCCTCCTCCAACGGTAAGCTTGCGAGTCACCTAATGTGGAATGGACGTGAACAAGCACTCGAAGAAGAAAAGACGGTTACTTACCTTCTGTAACTGTTGTTCTTCGAGATGTGTTGTTCACGTCCATTCCACTTCCCACCCTCCTTCCCCTCTGTCGGAGTCACCGGCAAGAAGGAACTGAGGGAGGGTCGGGCCGGCAGGGATATATATACGCGAGGGCGGGGCGCCGCTCTGGCGGGAAGGGGGACCCTGTGGGCCCGACGGGAGCCGCTGAGGGAAAAAGTTTCCTACGATTCGTGCACGCGGCGCGCGCACACCTAATGTGGAATGGACGTGAACAACACATCTCGAAGAACAACAGTTACAGAAGGTAAGTAACCGTCTTTTCTAGTTTCTCCCCCTCTCTCCCCCTCCATCCTCCCCCCGTGCTATTACATCTCAATCCTAGCCTGCTGCCACTCCCCTCCCATATGAAGTGACTTTCTCTTGCCAACTATGGTGTCAGATCCTCTTTTAGGGGAAAATGTTTTCTTGTGAAATCAGGACAGGCAGGGGCAGATCAGCTTTGAGGATGGGCACATACCCATTGCTGCATTCCTGTGGGTCTGATTTGCTGGCTCCTAACGCATTGGCCTATCCTGGATGTTTGCTGACCAGAGAAAAGCAAAGAGAAATTTCTCCCTGCAGTGGGCTGGCCTGTCTTTCCTAAGAGCTTGTCTACATGTACCGCGCGATAGCTGCACCGCTGTAGTGCTTTAGTGAACACACAACTACGCTGATAGAGCTCCTTCCATCAGCATAGTCAATCCACCGCCATGAGAGGCAGGAGAAACCCTCCTGTCGACACAGCACTGTCTACACCAGGGGTTAGGTCAATATAACTGCGTTGCTCGGGGGGGTGCAATGACCAGCAGAGCATATGAAACCAATTTGCATGTGCTTCTCCCTCCTGGTACTTGTTAAAATTGACCTTGGGAGCCAGAGCTGGCTCTTGGAAAGGGCTTAGGGCCTTACTTCTCCTATAGATGATGAAGCTGGCCCAGAGTTGGAAAGGGATAACATACAATTAGTAAGGCTATGTTTTAGTCACGGGTGTTTTTAGTAAAACTCATGGACAGGTCACGGTCAGTAAAAAAAAAAAAATCATGGCCCATGACCTGTCCATGACTTGTACTATACCCCTGACTAAATCTTGGGCCCTCTGGGGGGGAAGGCAGCCCAGGGGCACCATGGGCACTCTTGCGGGCGGGGCGACCTGTGACCCCTGCTGGTGCTGGGGGGTGGGGGTTGGCAGGGCTGGCAGGCTCCCTGCCTGGCTCTGTGTGGCTCCCCAGAAGCAGGAGCATGTCCCTCAGCTCCTAGGCACAGGGGCAGTCGGGAGTTCCGTGCCCTGCCTCTGCCCTGAGTGCCGGCTCTGCAGCTCCTATTGGCCGCGGTTGCGGGTGGAGGCAGTGCGCAGAGCCCCCAGTCCCTCCACCTAGGAGCCAAGGGACATGTTGCCGCTTCCGGCAGCTCCCCGAGGTAAGCACCGCCCGGAGCCGTCACCCCTTCCCGTGCCCCTGCCCCAGCCCTGAGTCCCCTCCCGCACCCAAACTCTTGCTGCTGTTGGGGGGGGGGGGTGTCACGGTGGCCCAACACTGCCCCGAGCTGCTCAAGCGGCCCCCTGGCCAGCTGCACCGGCCACTGCAGAAGTCACAGAGGTCTCGGAAAGTCACCAGAATCCGTGACCTCCGTGACAGGCTTGCAGCCTTAACAATTAGCCATTGGAACCCATTGCAACAGGATATTTCTTGGGCCAAATGCTTCGCAGGATTCCAAAGAAGGATTAGATATTTGTTTGGCTAACAAGTCCAGAGTTATAATAGGCAGGAGTTTGGAAGGGATATAAACTTTCCTGCTTAAGGGTTTAAGGCAACCTCTATTAAATTACAGAGGTTAGGAGGGAACTTTTCTAGGGGGCAGATATCCCATAATTGCGAACTGCAGGATTTCTTGCTCCTTCCTCTGAAGCAGCTGGTGCTGCCTACTGTTGGAGCCGGTATATTGGAGTGAATGGGCCAGGGGTCTGATCCAGTCTGGTGATCCCTAAGAGAAGTGTTGACATAAAGGATTTAGTCTCAGGCAGAAGGGGAAGTGGCTGGTACAATAGTTCCTGCTGGAGATGATTGTTGAATGTAAGGAAGAATTCCCAGGAAGGGACTGAGTCATCTGGACACTGTCTAGGATGGGAGGATTCTTATCCTGAGGGTGAATCACACTTGTATAGCGCTTTCTCCTTCATGTCCACAAAATTCCTCTCCATTCCCTGACATTCTTATGGAGTGATTCCTGTTTGATCTGGATAGAGGGTGTAGTTTTGAACAGGCATGGGACTTACATTTCCTTTGTTCAAATAGGAAAGCAAATGAAAAGGGGGGAGGAGCGATGTGTCCATTTTCTTCCTGAGATGTTTCTTTACTGTGATGTTTGGGATTGCTATTACAGTAGGCAATACAGTGCCCCAGTCAGGATCAGGGTCCCATTGTGCTAGGCGCTGTCAAACATGGGTAGCCTGGTCCCTGCCCCAAAGACAGTCCAGTCCAATTGCAGATGAGCCATAAGAAGTGTGCCTAACAAACGTAAGGAGGAATGGATGGGGGATAACATAATAAGATGAGATGATTACACAGCCTCTCTCTGATTCTGTCAGGAGCGATAGAATGCAATCGGGATGCAGGAGTTTTCATTTTACAGCTCTTTCTGGAGTCTCATCAGTCACCATGCTGGGGTTCCTCGGTTGGGCACCTCCGCACAGGCTTTGAGGAGTGGTTGCTGTTTGCAAGAGGAGAGCAGTGATGCCTCCCTGGGGGGAGATGGGAAAACTAACAGGCTTTTCTTCTTGTATCACATTTCAGAGACCTGCTGAGCCGGGAAGATGCGTGAGTACACGGAGAAGAAGGAGACGTGCGGCACTATCTGCCTCAAATACCTGCTCTTCATCTTTAACTTCTTCTTCTGGGTAATGTGCCAGCTCCCTCACCGCATTTGTGTGCCTCACCACATCCCTCGTTGAGGGCTACATCTGTTGTTTCAATGGCCAGGGGGGTGGGATGGATAGCATGGGTGAAATCCTGGCCCCACCGAAGACAATGGCAAAAATGCTCCTTGACTTCAGTGAGTCCCGGATTTCACCCCAGGTATCTAACTAGACCCAAGCTGCCAACATTGGGCGGAAGGACTATAACCTGACTGACCAGGAGTAGGCCCTGAAATGATCACATATCGACAGCAGTGAGCGGTCTGAAAAAGTGCTGTTTTGCCCACTTCAGGGGAGGGTGACCCAGGGCACAATTCTTAAGGCATCAGATACTCCAGGGCAGCCCATAGACAAAGGACATCCTTCAGTTCCTCTCTCGTTCTGCCCCGTGGCATAGCACAGGCTGGCAGTGGAATGAAGATGGCTAGGCTGGGATTATGGGGGTAGTCGCTGCGGTTATGTCTACACTAGAGTTTTTACCTCAAGTTAATTGATGGCCAAGGGATCAGCCTATTGTCAGCCATAGACATCCGTGGGCTAGAAGAAATGATTGTGGAGGGTCCTGACTAGCCTTTACAGAGGAATGAATTATGAACTGCCTCAGTGAATTGGCAACCAGGTAAAAACCTCTAGGGAACACAAGGCCCATAAAGAGGAAGGGGAGCCTGAAGGAGAGAAGTTGGCTCATCCAGTGTGCCTCGACTGCGGGGGCATTCCTGTGCTAATGTTCATTCTCACTGGAGTTTAGCTAACCAGGGTTCCCACCTTTTATAGCCTTGCCCCCCAGTGGTTCTGTCCTGGAGGGGGGGTAGACACAGCTGTTGTTTCGAAGCAGTCAGTATCACTCCTGGATCAGCCAGCAAGGCTGCAAAGCAAAGCATCCCCTCCCTCTCTTCTTCTCCATTCCCTGGCATGTAGGCAGCACTCAAGCAATCGTGAGAGCCAAGAGACTGGTTAAGGTTGGAAACTTAGAACTCCAGTTACAAAGTTCCCCGCCCAGCATGGGCAAACCCCCAGCCAGCTGTCATCCCCTTCCAGCTGGAATACTGTGCCTTGACTCCCTGGAACCTCCCAGGGCCCTTGAGAGAGTGGGGAGAGAGGAAGAATCGGCTTCATTTAAAGCCTGATCAAAGCCCATTGAAATCAGTGGGAGTCTTTCCCTGGACTTGAGTAGGTTTTGGATCAGCCCCTCTGTCAGCAAGCTGAAATCTGATCCCTGTGGCCCAGCAGGGGATACCACTCCTGAAAAGGAGGAAGTGCCCACCTCAGATGCATCTCACCTGCTTGCCTCTCTTTATTAAGCTGGCAGGTGGGGCGGTGATGGCGGTGGGTATCTGGACTCTGGCCGAGAAGAGTGACTACATCAGTCTCCTGTCCTCCAACACGTACATGGCGACCGCCTACATCCTGGTGGTGGCGGGGATCGTCGTCATGATTACCGGGATCCTCGGGTGCTGCGCCACCTTCAAAGAGCGGCGGAACCTGCTGAGAGTGGTAGGTTTCCTATTTGTCCTAGGACAGTGCTGGGCACCAAACATCGTGTGTGTGTGTGAGGAGAGAGCTGCATCTCTGTTCCTCTGGACCTGGAGAGACGTACCGGTGACTCCCTGACTGGCCCGCTCTCCTGTTTGGGATGGATGGTCTCTAGTACAGAGGAGACTTTCCTTTCTTTCTGTCCCACTCAGAGAATGTATTGGTTTCTGTATGTTTCCAAAGGTGCTAAATAATAAATATACGGTACTTTTCATCTGAGCATGTCAAAACATTTCCAAGCAAAGGAAATGTTCAGGCTGGTAGGGAAAAAATGGGAATAAATTTGGAAGAGAAGACAGGGTGGGGCATTTAAAACCAAAAAATAAGTAATTGTGATTCCACTTGATTCAAAGCAAAACATTTCTTTTGATTGGTTTCTTGAGCATTGCAAAATTTCGAACAGCACAAAAATTTTCACACACATACAGCCCTAATTTTTTTTTTTTTTTTTGTCAAAAAAAACAAACAAAAAATCACTTGACATTTTTGACTAGCCCTAATAAATCTCAGGTCTGGGCTATACTGCAGACCTATAGCGGTGTGAAAAATTCACACCCTGGAGTGACGTAGTTATACCGATCAAACCCTCCATGTAGACAGCACTACGTCGGCAGGAGAACTTCTCCTGTCAATATAGCTACTGCCTCTCGGGGAGGTGGATTAGACGGGAGAGTTTTCTCCCATTGACATAGAGCTTCTTCATTAAAGCACCACAGCGGCCCAGCTGCGCCGATGCAGTGTTTTAAATGTAGACTTGCCCTAATTCTCACTCGCTCGCTCTCAAATCTCCTTTGCGGTCCAGAAGATATACCTATCTCATAGAGCTGGAAGGGACCTTGAAAGGTCATCGAGTCCAGCCCCCTGCCTTCACTAGCAGGACCAAATACTGATTTTGCCCCAGATCCCTAAGTGGCCCCCTCAAGAATTGAACTCACAACCCTGGGTTTAGCAGGCCAATGCTCAAACCACTGTGGCAGTAGTTCATCAAGCAGCCCATCTGCAGTGGTGAGTGTAGTGACTGAAAGCAAGGGGCCATTAATTGTCATTTCATAGTAACAAAAGAGGACGCTTCCACTCGGGCCTTAACCGTTCCTTCAGTTTTGCAAACTGCTGTTGGCCTGAATGTCCCATCCCCTTTGTCCGAGTGGAGTGGAGACTGGGGCGGGGATAGGGAAAGGAGCCATGATGAACAGTACGTACCCTCTGTCTGTGATCCCACTTTGTGGGGTGTGGGTATGAACTGAAAATACAAGGTGGTGGAAAATGCCCCTAAAAGGCCTATGACGAGCTCTCAGGAGCTCTTGTTAGTGGCTCGTTCATTTGGTTCTTGAGGGGTGGTATTTGGCCCCTGGCCCTTAGCAGTTTGTTTTGGTACTAGCATAATTATTCACTGTGCTAAAGAGCTCTATTCATCTCCCTTTGTCTCTCTTTCACCCCTCCCCCCCTCCCAAGTTACAGATGAAAATCTGGTGGGTTTTCTTTGTTATTCTGACACAGAAAACTAATAATTGTCTCATGGAAACAAAAGGTTGTTCTCTGTCTTTTCTTTCCCGCTCTGCCTGTGACAGATCTATTGTCTCTCCTCTCCGCTGGCTTAGTTGATACTAAGTAATCCACAAAAGAAATATTTTGTGCTGGGCAGGGCTGAGTTGGTCTGGCTGGAGGCTCCTGCCAGCTCTGAGCTCAGCCAGTAATCCCAACATCTTCACAACAAAGAGAAAGGCATCTGTGCCAGTCTGTTCCAATTTCTCTCTGTACCAAAGGGCCATGTATATAGCGAGGTATGCTGCGATGGGGAGTGTCCTGTAATTTTCCAAACCCAGAGGCTCTTTAAAGCAAGTTGCAAGAATAATTTCAGACGGGGGGGTGGGGATATATGGGGCGGGGGGGGAGGGTTTGATCCAGGAAGGTATATTCTAGCTGCTTTTATATACTGGTTAGTTTTCACTCCCAGTTCAAGGCTTTCCTCTGTGTTTTGTTTCTCATTGCTGATTACCAAGATATTTGTGTGTCTAGAGCATTTTTCTCTTTCGCAGCCAGCCAGATTCACTCAGGGATGCCACAGTGATCCAAGCACTTGTGACGCCACAGTTGCTTCCGTGGGTTCCAGGCCTGCAGCCTGTTGACATCAGTGAGAGACACTTCCGTGAGCAAGAGCTGCAGGATCAGGCCCGCAGTGATGAGCTGTGATGTCACAAAATCTGGCTTGTTATAGTTCACCCTGACTGAGTTTCAGGTCCTCCCCCCCACCCCGATGGTGCAGCAGGCCAAGGAACCGTCTGATCCCTAGCATAGGCTAGAGCAATCCCAAGGCCTACTCTAACTGGAGCTCAGATTCTGTAGCCATTCTAACATTCAATCAGGGCACAGGGATGTTCAGGTTGCACACCCAACATACCCTGAGATGTCCCTATCCTATGGACTGCAAAGGTGTAGGGTTGCCACCTAGGATTCCCCCTTTACCAAGGAAATGGCTGTTAAGCCAACTTTCATTATGCTTTACACTGCTGGGATAGCATAAAGCAGGGAGAAACGTAACTGATTCTCAGTTACATAATGTATATGTCACTGTTGTGTACACAGCTCATTACAAGCGATCGTGGGTCTTAACAATCACGTGGAGACAAACATAGTGCACATGATAAAAGCAGGAGCCTGTCAGGGGTCACCAAATGAAATTAAGAGGCAGCAGGTTTAAAACAAACAAAAAGAAATATTTCTTCACACGACGCACAGTCAACCCGTGGAACTCTTTGCCAGAGGATGTTGTGAAGGCCAAGACTATAACAGGGTTCAAAAAAGAACTAAATAAGTTAATGGAGGATAGGTCCATGAATGGGTATTAGCCATGATGGGCAGGGATGGTGTCCCTAGCTTCTGTTTGCCAGAAGCTGGGAATGGGTGACAGGGGATGGATTACTTGATGATTACCTATTCTGTTCCATTCCCTCTGGGGCACCTGGCATTGGCCACTGTCGGAAGACAGGATACTGGGCTAGATGGACCTCTGGTCTGACCCAGTATGGCCATTCTTATGTAGGATAGAAGAGCTGAATATAAAAGATAGCCCTTGTTTTTCCCACATACATATGCCTCTCTTGAATATTTACATACACTGGAAAAGAGAATTGGTGGAAAGCATTTTGCTATTATTATTTAGATTACATCTGTGTCCAGAGGCTACAGCTAGGCTGGTGCCCCATTGTACAAGGTGCTGTACGTACAGAGTAAGAGACAGTTCCTGCCCCAGACAACATAGTCTAAATAGGTAAGATGTAACTGGTAAACGAAACAACCAGGCAGGGCTAACAATAACAACAAGATGTTTTAGCACAGGCTAGCTGAGTGCACAAGTGGTAGCTGTAGTAACCTTCACTCTATATAGGCTTTGATAAAACCTGTTTGCTAAAAAGTGGGAGGGCTCTTTAAGATAATATGGTGAGCTGAGGCCTTGTGATATGTGCCAGCTGCACTGGAATGCCTTTGACATCAGTGCAGAAAATACCCTGTATGTAGAAAATAGATGAAGGAAAGAGAAACTTTCCAGTTAATTGGTTGTTTTCTTTCCCCAATGCAGCAGCCTCACAGCACCATGATGTCAGAGGTATTACATAACCGGGCTTCAACAAAAGAAAGAAACCTTTTGTTTAGGAGTGTTCCTCTCCTTTTCTGTCCCTTTCAGCCTCCCATTAATGTGGCGCCCAGCCTTTGGTTATCCAGCACTCCATCGGGTGACTCATTCCCATGGTATGAATGGGTACCTTGTACAAGCATGTGCAGACACTTGCAATGTTCAGCTGAGAGCCAGTGGGGCTGGGAGTGAATGCCTGAGATTGTACACTCCTATTAAAGCCCAGCCTGCGGATAAAACCCAGTTGTCCCTCCCATGCAGCTGCTGAATCCCGGCAGAAGGTGAAAGAAGAAATCTGACCCAATGGACAAGGATTCTGAGTTGGCATAATCTCACTGGAGCAAGGCGTTTTGATTACCTGTGTCCCCTGACAAAAGGGGGAGCGCAGTGAGAAACGGAGGTTGTCACTCAGCAAAAGACAAGCTGTGATGCAAAGGCAAATTTGTTGCCTCCAGTTCTTTGCTTTTCCTAGCAGGGTTTTGTGGTGGTCTGTTTTTTGTAACATATAGATGCATTTATTTGATGCTAACCAGGGATTTTTTGAGGGGTGTGTAGCTCCTTTTGTGGGGCCAGGGGTGTAATAATACATGTAATTCAGGACTGAGGGACAGTTGGAGCCCGAAGACTGGAATTCCAGGGAATCCCACAAAACGGAGATAAGGTGCATTGGCAGAGGTGCCTGGCTGTTTGGGGGGTTGCAGGCACTTGATGGGACTTTGCTGGTACAGCTAGATATCAGATCCGATACTGTGTTTCCCATGCAGAACCGCACGAGGCTGCAAGGAGAACAGCCATCGGGGTGGGGCAAACATGGGACTTTCCAGCATGACTTCTTTCTGTGAAATAAGCTTGTGCGCATGGGGCAGTGTCTCTGACTGGTTCCCTAGTGGAGTAAATCACCATCAGAACTGACACTACCTGACAATTGTAGCAGAAGGGCCACAGTTAGAATGAGTATGTGACAGTCCCTAGAAGAGGTCTCTCCAGCTCTGGGCAAAGTTCTCTGGTGGGGCAGTGTGTGGGGAAGATGACACTGCTGAGTGCTGTGCGGTGCCTGTGCTGTGATGACATAGAGTATTACAGGATGAGCCCAAATTTACGCCCTTGGAGCTGTAGAATGACCTGGCCGTAGCTGCTTAGGTGACCATCACCATGGTGACATGACATTCAGGATAGTAGCTTAAATGAGGGCAGGGCATAGCCCTGTTTTCTGAGAGAATTTGGACTCGTGGTGTACATGATACTTAGATCCCACAGCACCGGATGCTTTAGGAAGAGAGCACTGGTTGGTCTCCAGGGATGTCAGTTTGATTCCTTCACCAAGATTAAAATTACGTTAAGAGCATTTTTTGAAATTTTCAACAGACACAAGGGATGTAAAAGATTAAACAATACGCCCAGGTTCAATTAATCCCTTCTGTATCTCACTGGACTCGACAGAGTTACACCAAGGATGGAGGTCAACCCTCCATGGTTAATTGTTGTGGGTGAAATTCACTTCTAGGGCTTACGTACCACTGTGACTAGTTCGGTGTTTGCACTACTTAAGGTTAAACTCCGTTATGAGGGTTTACTTGGTACCAGTGTGGCGCATAGGGATGAATTTCACTCTGTGTGAGTAACAGGCACATTTCAATACAGAGCTCCAGTGCTGATGTTTCACTCTGCATTCTCCTCTTAGGTCCCCGGAGCAGGGAATTTCCCACCCCAAATCAGGAAGCATTGCAATTGCCAGATATTGCCACCTTGTTGCATTGTTTCCTCCTTTGAACAATTGGCTGACTATTGAGTACAAAGTCCCTGCAGTTGCTCTCTGCACTGCAGCCTCATCCTTGGCTTCTGCTCAATTTCAAGAGCCTTCCCCATAGGATGCATGGTTATTCTGGGGCTCCCACCGCCGGGCGCAGTCAGATGTTCCTCTCCTATTTAACAAGCTAGTGTTGAGTTTCTACAGAGCAACTGGTGCAGCTGCATTTTGGAGGTGGGGTGGGGTGGGTGGCATCTGCAACTGAGCTACTGCATCCGTGGAATCCAGTTAGTTGCATTTAATTAGTTATACATGACTGCTCATAGGAATGACCATGCCATATCACACCCATGGTCCATCCAGCCCAAAATCTTATGTCCGTCGCTGGGCAGTACAGGCTGCTTCAGAGAATGATGCAGGAGCCCCTAGAGAATAGACAATTCTCGATTAACTTGTCCAGAGTTATAGTTTCCTCCTAACACCTTTGAGTTATGCCCTGAAACATGAAAATTTAGTTCTCTTATACATTTTCTTTATCCCACCTAATGTGACTGGGGATGTTCTTATCCAATCAGTGTCCTGTCTCTTGGAATCATGCTAAACTCTTGCCTTCATGATACATTGTAGCAGAGAGTTCCTCACACTAAGCGTGCATCATATAAAAAGAGAAATCCTTATCAATAAATGTGTTACTTTTCAATTTCATTGGATACCCCCTTGTTCTTGAAGTAGGAAAAAGGGTAAATAGGAGCTGTCTCCTCCAGTTCAGCTGTAATTTCTGTCTTGCCCTTTATTAGATACACTTATCATATCACTACTACCCTCATCTTTCCTTCCTCCTTTACTTCCTACTCTTTGATAAGCCCTCTTGTTGCTGCCCATCTTAAATTACATTATAACCTTTTCCATGCCCAGCACCCAATACAATGAGCCCCTAATACAGATCAGGTCCTTTGAGAGCTGCTGTAATACAAAGAATAATACTGATAGATTTAAGCCTTTTTCCTGATCATCTAAATTTAACTTCCAGGACTTCTCTCCCACCCTTCCTGATGCTCTCTTTTAACAAAAACGATTTTACCATTGTCTTGCAGTACTTCATATTGCTGCTGTGCATTTTCCTGCTTGAGATCATTGCTGGAATCCTGGCCTATATCTACTACCAACAGGTAAGTGGATGTCGAACTAAGAGGATCAATCCAGAGAGAGCGGGAGCGGCTACTTCTCACCCAATTTCTATTTAGCGATTGGGCCTAAACCAACATTTCAAGGGCTTTGAATCCGTGATTTGGTTTGGGCCCATCTATTCCTTACCCCAGCTTGATTCCCTCCTTACTCACATCCCCCAATATACAAAATGCATCAGGTTATAAACCATATTTGACAAGGCCTTAGTCTGTTACGTGAGTATTTGGGAGTCAGATGAAGTTCAGCTCCTTCCTGCACATCATCTTTTCTCCCCCCTCCCTCTGTGAAGAGAGCTGTTGGAGTGAATCCTCTTGTTTCTAGTACGGAGGATCAGCCTGAGGATTTTTCTGATGTCCGGAAAGGAAACAAGGGGCAATTGTAATTTATAGTTGTGCCGTCTAGTATGTCCATGAAGCAGAACATAAGAATGGCCCATCTAGCCCAGTATCCTGACTTCTGACAGCGGTCGTCAATGGCAGATGCCTCAAAGAGAATGAACAGAACAGAGCAATCATCAAGTGATCCACCCCTATGGATCACCCCAAGTGATCTGGCAGTCAGAGGCTTAGGGATGCCCAGAGCATGGGGTTGCGTCCCTGACCATCTTTGCTAATAGCCAAGCAGAAACGCTCCCGGCTAAACCCAGGAAGCTCATGGACGGGAAATGGTCCAGCTGGGGATAGAGCAGCACCGCCACAACTCAAAATATCCCCGAGGGTCGGCTGCAGTCGTAGACAACTGAGCTTGAAATCCCCACGAGGGAGCGATGGCTTCATGTTATCACGCTGGATATGGCCGACGAGAGGCATACCGCTTGGGAGGCTCCCTCAGACGAGGCTTCTCTCCCCCACCCTTTGAGGGAGGCTGGGTGTCTGAAGAGGGCAGACTGTTGGAGATTGTCTGAGGAGGTGTCTGACAGGGAAGTGTACATTGCAGAGGGGTACAGGTGTTTTCAGTGGCTCTGTGCTCACATACTGTAGGCTTCCCTGGATTACACCCTTAAGCTGGGAACTTTCATCCTGCCTCAGGGCTCCCAGACTTTGCCCCCCACCTCCCACAAAGGTGGCATTAGCAGTTTGCTTGTAGCTAAAGAGCTATGCCTCATTTGTATCAAGTGAAATACATTCCAGCTGCCTCTGTCTTTAATATGGAGGATCGGCCCCATGGAGGCTATTGAACCCAGAAAGCCATGCTCCATCTGGACCTGAGCAAAGACTAAAGTAACACATGGCAATGGATGAAATGGTGGAAACTTCTTGGATCAAGGTGGAGCATGGCATGCTGGGATTGTAGTCTCTCTGGCAGAGCCGCTGGCTGCTTTGTAGATCACCCACTGGCATTTGGCTTACTAGCTACACTGATTCCCCCCACCCTCTTTTATGTAAAAGTCCTTCCTTCCCTGGGCTCCGTCTGCTTTCTCTCTTTGCAGCTGGTTTTCTTTCTCCCCTTCCCTTGCTGTCGTGTCCACTGCGTGCGTATAAACTGTGTGTTTGTTTCTTTTGCTGTCTTTGTTCCATGCTGCAGTTCTTCCCCGTGAGCCCGCAGGTAACTGCTTTTCTCCTGAGTAATATTTCCGCTAGTGGACTCTGTCTCTTTGTTTGCCTTTGGTGCCCATGAGCTGCCAAACTTTTCTTCTTGTGTTTGCTCCTCTAAATATTTTGCACTTCTAAAGAGCCCAAGATCTCAAAGCACTTTGCAAACGTTAATGAATGAAGTCTCGCATCACCTCTAGGAGGTAGGTGTTACTCCCATTTGACAGAAGAGGGATGAAGAACCACTACTACATTCAGCAGATTTGAAGTAGAGGAGAAAAACTCAGGCCATATTCCCCCAACCCAGTGTAACTGAAATGTTCTTTTCCTGCATTCCACCCCACAATTATTGCTTATTACTAAGAAATACATGTACATAGAAAAGCTTTTTCCCTATCTGGCCATCTGGCCTTTTCCCCCTGTTTGGTTTATTCAGCGATGCCATCTACACGCATGATGACATTGTTCAGGAACATGGGAGAATTGTGATTTCACAGGCACTGGATTATGGCATCGTTACTGAATGGACCAGGCAGGAGGAGGCTGATTAGAAAGGAGGCAAATTTTAGCCATATTTTGTCTATTCGCAGGGATGGGCAGGAAAATACCGGAAAAGGACATGACATAGTCTGGTGGTGCATCAGCCAGCTAGACAGAGAGAGAAGTTTGTGGATACGTTAGTGTGAGTGTGTCACTGTGAAGGACACTCTCAGGCTTGACATGCTCCACATATCAGACCTTCTTTCTGAGCAATGTCATTCTGGCTTTCTGAACCTATCTCTAGTATCACAAGGGCTGCTGCAGTCTGGGAGGCAAGAGGCTTAAGATCCCTCCTCATGCTCTCAATCTCCTTGTGCGACATCCCTTTCACTCTCTGATATAAAAGGTATGTAGACTGCACAACTTCAGTCCAGCAGGTCCAGGGCTCTGAATTCCTAACACTCCTAGCCAGATCCTTTTGGATTTAGTTCTCTGGCAGCCCTTTTTCCGGAGGCGTGAGAGCCCCTTTGATCCTAGAGGAATATTCATAAGGCAGGAATGAGATTTTTAGAGAAGGGCAATCCTGTTCTGCGGCAGGCCTGTCCCTCTGGATGGCATCCCTTTCAATGTGGAGGCAGGCTCACGCTGGCCTTGCAGGGCAGGGGAGAATGATGTTTAAAGAGTCAGGAGAGGCAGAAATAAGTGCCTGTGCTTTCTTGGAACCAATGGGGTCTACACTGGAGGCAGGGTTATAGCTTCCACAAAGTTCTCTGCTGTTCTCCAGGAGTGAAAATGATAGAAAATATAAAGGGGTGATGATAAGGAAGGTGTCTGCCTCATGATTTCACCTCTGCTACCCCTTTTGTTTAGCTGAGTATGGAGCTGAAGCAAAACCTGAAGGACACCATGACCCAGAAGTATAGGAAGGAGGGAGAGGAGGGCGTGACCAGCGCGGTGGACAAACTGCAGCAGGAGGTAGGCCTCAAAGACACAGGGAGAATTAAACCTATGATAGAGCTAAAAATTATACCATCCTTCGATCACTGGCTCCTTATCATTAGAGATAACGGTGTTCCCCATGTCGCTGTCTGGAGTGGTCAATGACCGTGAGCGCCAGCCTCAGGGCAGACTGTCAAAAAGCAGGGCAGAGACCCCAAACTTGTGGTATGTTCTATAATTGGATTTCACCAAAGCAGTAACAGATGTGAACGCCCGGATCACTGTACTAGTCTTACCATGAAGTGACAGATAGTCGCCCTGGGCACTCTGGTCTATCTTGCCACCCAGGCAAGACAGACTTAGTGACAAAAGGTCACTTACAACAAAAATCACTAAATATTCAGGTTGCTTCCAAGAGAATGCTTTTTTTTCCTAGGTCCAGCCCTTGCGAGAATCCAAACAGCAAAGATATAACCATTTTTTCTTGTGAGCATCTTTATATGCCCTTCCCCCAGAGTTCAAACTGATGGGATGAGTGCTCCTCACATAACTTCTTCATGGGTGGATGGGGTGATCAACAAAGTTTTTGTCCTACGTTGGCCCATTTAGTCTTGATAGTCCTTCTTGATGGGCGGGGGAACCACGCTTCCTGCCTAGGTTCACCAGTTCTGATCAGGCATTTTTACAAGTATAAACCAAAACGTTCATATTACCTTATAGTATGGGATACAGGCATTACAAATAAGATTAATGCATGCAGCAACTTACAAGCATTCTATTGAGTCTAAACATTAAACACATCCTTACAAATCTAACGCCTACCTTGAACAATATTAACATACAAGGTGAGTGGGTCTGGTTTCCAGCTATGAATTTGTCAGTGCTCAGCTGATGCCACCAGCCTTGGCAAGATGGCACCTGGCTTACCAGCATCACACCCCACTATCCCCAACTCAGACAGGATGGATATGATGCTGCGTCTGCTGTCACAGAGACTGGGACTCCTGGTCTCTGAGCCGTGTGATTGCTTGAAAGGGGAAGGGTGACATTCACATCACTTGCTGAATGAACTAGTTCTGGCCAGTTCAGTATTGATAGTTGCTTGCTTCCAACAGGTTGTCTACAGGATGGAAGTGGAGGAGTTTGGGGGGAATTGCTAATGTTAATCAAGCTTCCCAATACCCCGCAGAGTGAAGTATAATGACTGAAGTGCCCTGTTGCTCCAGGCACTGCCAGAGAGTTGGGGGACTGAACGATAGAAATGACTGAATAGTCTTGATAACTTCATAATCCAGTACCTCTCAACCCCTCCCCAGGAGACATGCCCCTTGCTATAGACCTGAATTTACCTCCAACCCACACCAGCCTGATGTCCCACTGCCTGACTCTCACTTCTGTTATGATACATGTCCATGAGACATGCAGGGTCACTGACGTGAGGTTCTCGGGAGGGTTGTACAGGCTTTAGAATGGACTCCCACGTCGCCGGGGTGGCCTGCCGGGGCACTTTCTCACGTTTCCCGTTCTGGTCTGTTTTCTCATGCCTCGTGTTAAGGTGTTGAGCGGCTCGGTGTGTATTCTAGTGCTTGGTGTCTCCTGATTCCGTTCACGAGGTACGGAATCCATGGAGCTGAGGACTTGGGGCTTGTTCAGGTCACAAGTAGAGAGAGGTCCAGTCTTCAGCAGTCAAAGCACTGCTGTTTGTCAATGAATAATACTAACCGGCAGTTCTGTAGTGCCTCCTGTCTGAGGACCCCAGAGCAATGCACAAATGTTAATCCGGGCCTTGCCGCTCTCGGGTGAGTATTTTACAGGTGAGGAAGCAGAGGCAACGTGAGACTAAGTAACTCACTCAGTGCCCTCTGTGATGGAGCTAGGAATTGAGCTCTCCTCTCCTGATTCTCAGTCCTTGGCCACAAGCCCACCTTTCCCCTCATCATTGCCATCAGGATGTGAGTGCGCTGAGGGGCACACGGATGCAGCCCTTTATGGTCTGAGGGCATGAGTTGTTCCCATAAGTGGGATGAGAGACAGACAGTTGTGCGGGGACCCACCCAGGAAACAAGCTCATTCTGCTGACTACAGCTACCCCCTAGGCTGTGGGTGTGCTGAACAGCAGAGTTGTCCGCAGTCATCCGTCATTTGATTCAACGCGAGCATGATTGGTGCTGTTCAGTTTTGTTGTCAAGACCAGAAGGTGCTGCAGACGAGGCCCATCTCTGTACAGAGACGTAAGTGGCTAAAAGAAAGGCATTGTGGATATTTAAGGGACATTTTTAGGAACCTTAGACACGAAGGTCGCCCATAATTATAGCAGCTCATAAAAACACAGGCAGACCTAAGCAGCCGGACTGGCCAATTGACGACGCTCTGCGGGGGATGTAACTAGGAGCTGGGTGAGGATGGATGTAGGGGATGGTGCTGTGCTTTCTGGTGACAAACTGCTGACTCATCCTGTGCTCTTGTGCGCATACAGTTCAAGTGTTGCGGCAGCAATAATGCTACAGACTGGAGTGAGAGCATCTGGATCAAATCCGCGGAGGCCGGAGGGCGGAAATTCCCAGACAGCTGTTGTAAGACGATAACAGAAGCGTGTGGCCGGAGAGACCATCCTTCCAACATCTACAAGGAGGTAAAGAACAAGCTGACGTCAACATTCCCGGGATCACACTGCGGGGGGACCTGCTGGGCAGACTGGTTTGGTGCTTGTTTAGGGCTGAAGGCAAAGCCTACTGAAGTCAGGGGGTGGGCAGGGACTTTCCACTGAAGACTTTAGTTCTCTAACTTTGTTCCCCACCCCCAATCCCAAATGCACCCATCCGGGGAGGAGAGGGAAAGGATACTATTAACCTTTAAGCACCAGGAATCAGGCTGTCTTCACTCCAGCCACACGAGCATTACGACAAGTGCTGTAGTAATCACAGATATCATGGGTGTGGGATCAGAGCTGATGTCCTGCGTAAGCGTGGTACAAGTTACCTAGGTAGCGCCTTGCAGATGGGAGTGTGGATTGGGCGTGTAGTTCATTTAAAATCAGTGCAGAAATTGCCTTCCGGCGTTAAAAAGCTCGAGGGGCATGTTAAAGAATCCTGTGCAGCAGGCAGCGCTAGCGACTCGCAGCACAAGTAGCAGGGAACGTGGTTGTGGGTGGGGAACATGACGCTGACAAGAAGTGCACCCCAGGAAATGGGGAAGGGAAGAGTAGGAAGCATGTTGCTGATGGGAAAAGTGAGGCTGGCCTAGTGCTTCTCCTCTTCAGTTCCGGGCAGGAAACCTGGGTTTGAGTCCCACAATGCATGTGGCATCTCAGCAGCTTTGGCTTTGGTAGGCTTTGAATGGAGTCCCATCCAGTCCTCATCTAGAAGGGTGCTGGGTGCTAGGATGGTAGGGTAGATGGATTTGGCCTCCAGCATGAAGGAAAGAGAGGTCAGAAGAGGAGGGAAAAGGGGTGTTGTAGAGTCAAATTAGTACAGTCCCTGTTGGCTAGAGCTGGGCTAGGCAATGTTTGGGTAGAGGGGAAACCCCTCTTTACTCTGACAAACAAAATAATCAACAAATGGGTAGCTAAGCACTCATCAACCTGACTCGTGGAGGGGTGAGGTCTTGCAGGGGGAATTGATTCAGGCACCCACAGTATTGTTGCCCCTTTTTGACCCGAGCGGCTAGTCAAATTTGGGGCCCTGAGGATGTTCCAGTTAGAAGTGGGAAGTGATGGAGTCCGGTATTCTCTTTAATGCAATCGTGTTTATTTACAAGGAGCGCACCAAGTCCTGCTTCTCTTAACACAGGAGGAACTGGGAACAAAAGGAGCCGTTTTTTAGTTAACCACCCCAAGAGAGACCCCAAAGGTCTCTCTAGCTTTCCCCAAGGTCACACAGGCTACTCCTTGCTTGGCTTTCTTGCTTTTGGCCTCTGCCTCCCTCTCCGTTCTTGTCTGTTCTCAGTACCGAGTGGAACCCTGCTCCCACATGGGGCAAGTTTCTGGGCAGGCTCTAGTAGGCCTTGTTTTAGGTGTGTCCCCGTAACTGTCTCTTACAGCTATTGTTCACACATAGGGTGAACAAGGTTTTAACTAAGCCTATAGCAAAGTTTCACCTGGCTCATAACAGTATAAATACATTTGCCTCAACCTAGGGACTGTTCACTGGCTTTCTAGCCTGATTTTCCCAGCAACATAGCCAGCGCCCTAACCTGTGGAGTCAGCACCATGGCTGGCTGCCTTGAGACAGGTAATTAGAGGGGTGGGGAATGCCTGCTGGAGTCTTTTCCTTGTTTATAATTTCCCATGATGGAGACACCGCAAATGAAGAGGTGGCCCCTTAAAGTCAGATATTCCTTCTCACAGGGCATGTGCGTTCAGCAGGACTCACACGAGGATTAGACCGTTTTAGGAGCATGAGTAACATTTGCCGCTAAGTTGAGCAGATCAGACAGATATAAGGGAAATCAGCCCTCGTGCCTCAGGGCATGAATAGTGATGATGGAACCAGAGACTTGAAGTTCAGCTGCTTAGGCAGACTGCTCTGAGCTAGGAATGTCAGGAGGAAGGGGCGAGCTCAGGAGATTTGTGGCTCTGGGCTGGTTGGCTAGAACTGGGTAGAGCCTCTTGCCTGGCACTTCCCCCACATCTGCTCCTGGCCCCAGCAAGGAATCACAGAAGTGAAACTAATGACAGAGGGCCCACGAGGCAACCCTGAGATAGCATAACGGGGGAACCCATGTCAGAGATGGGGTTGGGGGCTGCCTTTTTGACCTCTCACTGCCCGCACAGCTGCCCAGTTGATCTACAAGGTGGGTGGGGTAATACCTTTCATTGGACCAACTTCTTCTGAGCCACACGGAGCTCATCTTGTCTCTCTCACCAACAGAAGTTGGTCCAATAAAAGAAATGACCTCACCCACCTTGTCTCTCTAATACCCTGGGACCAACAGGGCCACAACTACACTGAGAGAGCGCCCAGGGCTTTGGAGGCTGGATTAGCTGGGGAGAGAGCCCGTGGGTGGTGGGAGCCAGGTTAGCTGTGGAGGGGCTGGGTGAGCTCTCAGGGGAGAGAGCCTGCGCGATGGCCCCCAGGGTTTCGCTAAGAGGGGGTAGTTCAGGCAAGATTTTAGTGGGTTTGAAAAAATTAGACAAGGGTTGGGTCATGAAGGTAATAATGGCTCCAGAATGGGACAGCTGGGGATAGCTTAGATTTTGAAGTCCAACCATGGACCAAGCAGGACCTGTGCCTCTCCACCCCTACGCCCTCTGCCTGTATGTTACACTCCTGTCCCCTCCCTCCGTCTCTCTCTGTAGGTTGTAAGCTCTCTGGGGCAGGAGCCTTGTTACCCTCTGTTTGGAAGCTGCCCTGCTCGGTCCCACAGAAGATCTGACTCACTAGATTAACCCACTTAATCATTTAAAGACCCTTGGATCAATATTCAGCCAACCCTGTCGCTGCTTCTGTTTCAGCAACGACTTGGCAAGGCTGGGAGGGGAGCAGGCTGCCAGCCAAGGACACAATTACAAGATGGAGGCGGGCAGTGCCTGACCTTTTTGGGCCCACACCTCCCCATCTCATCGCTCTTAGAAACAATCCTACATGGAATTCTCCTTTAAAGGGCTGCTGCTATTTTAGGAGACCTTGTGGCTGGTCCCAACTGCAGTTCCTGGAGACCCGGCAAGGGCTTCCTTGCCCTTTTTCAGGTCAAAGCCATTACAGTCGTAGGGTGGAGCCTTTGGGGTCACTGGGTATCGATGCAGCATCCCTTGCAGGCAGGTTCTGGCAAGGATGAGACCTTCCAAATAGCTTGGGGAAAGATTTCCTCTCTGCCACCAGAACGCAACTCAGCCCCAGGCGTATGGGAGGTCACAGCCTCACCCACCTCTGGCTGCAGGGCTGATGTTGGTCTCTGTGAGGGGACTTGCCTCCCCATCGCCTGTGCCCAGCTGGGCTGCTGTTTTAGCCTAAGCTCTGCAGTCACTGCCTTGCTCACTTGCCATTTGTAAGGCTGTTGCCCTGGACCTATTGAAGCCTGCTAGCCATTTCTGGGGAGCTGCCAGGCTCCCTGCTATAACAGTGGTTACTGTCCATGCTGCACTGTTACATTCTGTATCTGTAACAAGGGTGGAAGTGTAGATTATGAGCTCTCTGTGTGCTGTCTGTACAACACCTAACAGGATGGGACATTGATGCCTGACTGGGGTTCCTGGATGCCACCATAACACAGATAAGAATAAGTTGTATCAAGGAATCCGTCCTGTTAGTTTTCACTCCCATTCATTCACCCACCTTCCAGGGTTGCAAACATTGTAATGCATGGGGGGCAAGGGATTAAACCAAAACTAACTCCTGTCTATTCTTCCCGTCCCCCGCACAGGGTGGCTGCATCACTAAGCTGGAAAACTTCATCCAGGAACACCTGAAAATTATTGGAGCGGTGGGGATTGGCATTGCTTGTGTTCAGGTAAAGGGACTGACTGCTCGGGAGTGGGGAAGCTTGGCCCACGTTAAGACAAACCCTAGGACAGTGAAGCACCATCTGCCGAGCCCAGAGCATGGCTAGGAAGTTATGGCACTGATTCGTTGGAAGTTTGGTGTGTGGGTCTCCACAAACTGCTAATCTAAACTTGTGGGATCCAAGGTACAGATGCCCTGAGCTAGTTTCCTTTCCTTGTGTCTATAAAAACGGAGGCTTTAACTATGCTTCCGAGAGAGAAATTCCGATGCTAAAACCCAGTGCAGTGGGCTGAGGAGAGCTGAGCTCCGGGTTTGCTCTGAAATGCGGATACGGCCTAGGTCCTGCTGTTATCTATTGTAGAGTGAGGGAGACCTCTAGTGGGGATTCCCCACAATTACCAGCATAGATGTTGCCGAACCAGAGTAGTTTTGTGCCTGATTTTTTTCCTTTGCTTTGTCACCAGAGGTGAAAGGTGCTGTGGCCTTGATACCACTCTGAGGATAATGTGAAAAAGTGACACACATTCCAGGGGCGGTACATTATCCTTTTAGCCTGCCTGTGTCTTAGAGGAAAGGTGCAGGGTATTCTCTCTGGTTCAAGATTCAGGCTTTCCCAGGGGAGCAACAGTGGGATATGATCTCAGTTCCCCTTTTTCTGGCTAGTAACCGAACTGCACCAATTGGATGTCTGTAGCTGGTTGTAGGGGGAGACACCCTGCGTTGCTCATCGTCTCCTGCTGTTTTATTGAAACACAGAGCTTGGGTTTCCCAAATGCTCAGCTCATCCATTGAGCACCCATTGCAATCAAGGTCCGGTAGGAACGTTACGAGCTGCTTTCTCCTCATCCTCTCTACATCCAGAATGACCCCTCCCCTTCCAGGGTTCCTGGAAGTACAGTCAGTTCTCAGAGGCTTTAAATCCGATGGAGCCTGATTTTCCAGAGGTGCTGAATACATGCAGCTCCCAGCAACTTCAGCTGGAGTTGTGGGTGCTCAGCACTTCTGAAGATCAAGTCCTGTGTCAGACAGAGGAGTCAAACTGGCCTCTGTGAGAAGACCCAACTGGCTGATAGCTGTTAACCCGTTAGGGTACATAGACCCATCTTTACACAGCTGCCCCTAAGCACACATCATGTTTCTCCGTCTCGTATCTCCTCACCCTTTAGATCTTTGGAATGATCTTCACCTGCTGCTTGTACAAGAGTTTAAAGTCAGAACCATATTAGGAGCACCAGGAAATCCATCAGCTCCCCCTCTACCACCACCCGCAATGTCTGTCAACCCCACCAGCTTCTACCCAGCAGCAAAGAAACATCAGTAACTCGAGGACTTGCCTTCCTTATGAAGTGACTCTTGGATCATCCAGCACCTACCCTGCCTCTGCCAGAGAAGGCCACCCTCCTTGAGGTGGCACAGGACGGCCAGGAGTTCAGGGGGTTCCCTGTGTGTTCTAGAGCAATTGAACTGCAGATTCCACTCTGCTAGAAGCTTTAACAAACCAGGCCCATGTTGCAACCTGAAAGAGAAATCATCCAAGCCCATTGGGGCCCAGCCGTTGAGGTATCGGGATTCCACACAAGAACAATGGTTCGCTCTGGCTGATAGACCACTCAGCAGCCTGTGCACCGACCATGAGGACAGATGATGTCTCTGTGCTGGGTGGGAGCCCACATCAATTCTCACATCCAGAAGGTTCCCCTTAGGCCGTGCCCATGCCCTAACAGAGCTATATTCCATCTATACCTGCTCTTGTCAGTTGCTGCCGTCACCTCTCTCCATCTCCCCAGCAGGAGGGTGACCTGCCAGAACTCTGATCTTGCCCGAGGTGTGGCCGGCTGGGGTTACCTTGCCCCTTCTTCCTCGAAGCCTCCATCCCACTCAGAGCCCATTGCAGAAACAGGGGCTCTTTGCCTTCAGTGACTGGAGAGGGAGTGTTCAATCATTTTCTGACTCTCTGCGACTTATATTTTATTTAGTGGTTTCCAGTGTAAATGGGAAAAATTAACTTGTCCCCCCTCCTGCTCCTTGTCTGACAGGCCCTATAGTGGGCCATGAGGGGAATGTGTTGTACCTTGCCACATATGGGTGTTTAAATCCTTTGCCCTTTCAGTTGCCGGAATGGCCTACTGAAACACCACTCCCCAGAGACACCCTCTCATGTGACGAGATACTCCCCAGCCGTATGAATTAATTCCTGCCCAAGAGAGACAGGTGTGGAGGCTGCAAAGGAAATGCACTAAGGATTTTGTACAGGCCTCCCTGGATCTCATTAATCAGTTAGGCACTCTGGCTCTAATTAAACCTGTAACCCTGCTTTCTCATTCCTCTCACCCAGTAACCTGCAGGGTCAGCTTCATCTGACTGCAAAATAGACTTGGTAAATTGGTAGTACCATGGGATGCTAGTTAACTGTCTGGTTAGTGTAAATGCATCGTGACTTCACTAGAATCCGTGACACTTTTCAGGGGAAACGATGTCTGTTGCCAACATAGTCTCTCCCTATGGCTGTGAACCATGGTGCCAGCTGGGTGCTAGCTTGAATTCCTGGCAGCTGCCCAGGGATGTTGTTCTGAATCGCCGATGTTCCATCGGTGCTTCCAAAGGCTAGACCCGGCACACGGACACCTGGCAGGCTTTGCTTGGTGCAGCTGTGAAATTTACATAGCACCTTTAGAGACGCATGGGTGAAAATTGGGTCCTCGAATGCCCAAACTGGTAATTAGCTCTGAAGTGAAACTAAATCAGGATTGGATGCCTTTCTAAAAAAAAATGTGCTGAAGCTCAACCTTCAGAGATGGGTTCGATGCAGGAGTGCTTCCCATCATAAGCACTGTCAGTAACCCCCTTCCATCCCAGGCATTCACGCTACACACCCAGCACAGCATCCTATGCACGGGGACCCCTGCTCCAAACGATTTACTACGCCACCCAGCACAGCAACAGATTCATGGCATTCCCTGGAGCTGGATTCTATACCCTTCCATGCTCTGATTAAGTTTTACTTCACAGAGATCTCTGTGGTCCTGGTGCTGGAGGGGAGAAATCACAAGCTACTAAGGCATGTAATTTACCCTTGATGATCAGCAACTGCAAATCCCGTCCCCCAAACTGATTACTCCCCTCTCAGTCCCTTCAGATCCAGGGTGAAGTGATGACTTAAAAGCACATGCTGGGTTGTGCAGTAAAGTGAATAATGCAGGGCTGTGTGGGTTGGCCGCCTTGAGAGTCCCAGCCTAAGAGTGTCTGTGGGTCCTTGGAGACACTTCCTCTGTCAGTAAGAGTGAACAGAGGTGGAGTGTGGGTTGGGAAAGTGCGTTCACTGCAGGAAGACAGTATAAGCTGAGTGACTTATTCCCTTCCTTGGCCTTTTGTTATGGAGTTTGTTGTGACTCTGGGCACATACTGAGCCCAGCAGCCGGACAGTTAACAGTTGTGGAATCCCCCAGTGTCCCACAGGGCCTGTTACACTATCAGGAGACTTTGCTCCATATACCAGAAGCCTCCCGGTAAGAGGTTAAAAGGTGATGAGAAAAAATCAGGGCAGGTGAAACTGGGAATCCCCAATGCAGCAGCAACATGAAATCATTCTAGATGCTAACACAGGCAAAGAGCATGTGGGAGGGGCATTTTTGCCCCTGGGGTGGTGGAAGGGGGAAAGAGAACCTAAATTATTACAGAACGCTCTAAAGGATAAAACTCTAAATTATTGCTCGTTTTACACTTCAGTTCCTGAGAAGTTGACTATTAACAAAAAGGAAAATACTGAGCACATTGCTTGAAGCAATATTTCTAGTTACTTAAGTGTGTATTGCTAGTTGTCTATCCCCACTCCCTGGAAGGCATACTGTCCAGAGGGAGGGAGTGACCAGGCCTTGTCCGCTGAGCTGTTTCCCCCATGTCATATTCATGGTTTGTTTGTTTTTATAACTCAGTTTAAGTTGCTGGTCAATTGACAATAAAGCTAAAGACTCTCTACTTATCCTTTGTACCAGTACCAAAGAGATAACATGCAGTAGTGGTTTAGCAGGATTGCAGGGTCTACAGCGACAGGAAGGGTCTCAGAGAAAACAGGCCAAAGCTGGGGGTTCACGATCCTCAAAGGGGTTGCAAACAAATGTGAGGAAATCACAACAACCCTGCCCTTCCCATATTGCTAAGTGGGAGTGGGGGTCTCCATATGGAAAAGCTTGAAAAGCGCAGATCTACAGGAGCTGGTTTTCAGAGTGCTGAGCACTCGCAGGTCCTGGGAGCTGTTGATGCTCAGTGCTCCTGGATATCCAATCCTGCAAGGTGCCGAGAGCTATTAACTCACATTGAAGCCAATACAAGTTTAGAGCATTCGGCACCTCCTGTTCCCCAACAAGAGGCCTGATCAGAGCTCATGGACGTCTATGGGAAAACTCTCATTGGCTTCACTGGGCTTCAGATCAGGCCCAGGCTGAAGCATGTGTCTCAGGGCACGAGTGTGCATAGTATACAGTACACACTGTAAATAACAAGGGTTGAATAAATAGGGAGCATGGGACAGGATAAAAAAACCTGCTGGACCCAGCTGGTCCTTCAAACCTGAACAAGTTGATCTGGGAGAATAGAGTGGGAAGCAGGAGACAAATTAGTTCCATGGCACTGTTTAGCCAGCTTGATAGGGGTCCAGTCCCGCAAGGTGCTGAGCCACCACAGCTCCTAAGGTAGCTGCGGACCCAGCAGCTCATGGAGTCAGGCCCTGAGTGAGCGCACACAGAGGTGTTTGCACACACTGTGCCGCATGCTCAGCTTCACATTCGTTGCCCTAGTGCAAAGAGTGACAGCAGAGGCAAGCTCAGTACAGCTCCCACAGGCTCTGCCAGGGGGCAGCTCCTATCCAGCCCAGCGGCTAGTGCTGCTGCCTCTGGCCTGCCAGGGGCTGTGTTCAAGTCCTGGCAGCAGTAACAGGCAGGATGTGTGTGAGCAGTGAGTCCAACCCCTGGCCAGAGAGCCCTGTTCCGTGGTTAATTCTGCTCTACCGTCTGACCACCAGTTGCACCCACCCACGCACACTATACTTAACTGAAGTCCTCCACATCTGGTACAGGGGCTTGCACTGGCTACTGCAGGTCAGTGGAATGCAGCAGCAGTGTGGTGCTATACGATGAGTTCTGCTTCTGTCTTGGGGCCTGTGCTGCAGGGATGCATTCCTGTGTCTGTGGCCTGGGCACACCCGTGCCCTTGGCATAGCTCACAGCAGTCTAGCCTCAGCCCTGGACGTGTGCACGGAGAGTGCAGGAGCAGATGAGTCTGACAGCCTCTTTGCAATCCGGCTTTGAGCTCACCCTGTGTTTGCCGTAGGAATTAAAAATGACAACCGTAAACCACAAGTGCCCCCCTTATTAGCCCTGTGCCAATGTGATAGGAGCGAAAGCCTGGAGAAATGTCCTGCCATTAACATGTCTGACCACAGAGTGGCACTGTGCATCCCACATAGAGTCATCGGATGAAGCATTGCTGCATCCCAGCTAACCGAGCTGGGCCTAATGCAAATGGTGCAGCTTTAGGGGGTGCGCCTGCCAGGTGCCTCGCCAGACCCGAGGAGAGCATATTGCACATAACTCCAGAAGTGGAGAGCCCTCTGCTCCCCTCCTCTGATGGAAGGAAGTTAGTCGCAGCTCTAGAAAAATGTGCATTTTCACATCACATGGGAGATTCAGTTATCGCAGACTGTGCCAAGGTTGGCCGGGGCATGGGGAAATGTTGCAATGTACTCAGGCCTAAAAGGGGGGATGTGAGAGCAAAAGCCTGTTCAAACCACCTTATGTAATAAATACAGTTCTTGGTTCACCCTCTGCCTGTCTTTCCCTCATGTTCCTAGCTTTGTTTCCTCCCTGGGCAGTTCACATGCATTGGAACTGGCCCAGCCAGAAGTATCACACAGCACTTCCTCCACTGAGCACCATCGGCTCAGGATGAGCTCATTCACTTGTACGTCCTGAGCTCAGGGCGGGCCAGTTACACTTTGTTACGCCCATCACGGTTCTAATTGGCTTAGCTCTTGGAGCCCAATGGGCACACGACAAAATCTCTGGTCCCTTGGGAGTGTTGGAAAACACCCCACTCTGACTGGGATAGTCCTCCTCACTTTCACACCTCAGGATAACGCCACTGCCCCTCCCCATTGCCGTATGCTTCACACTAACCCAACTGCCCCTTCCCTGGCCCCATTGTCCTCTCCCCAGTGCCGTCTGCCCCACACTAACCCAACTGCCTTCTCACCATCTTCCTGGAGATGCCAAGCCAAGAAAATGTATTGGGATCTCTACAGAGAGCCCCACTCCTCCCACGTCTCCTATTTAATCTGGAGGGTTTCCCAAGAGACCTCGTAAAGCTTGTTTCTTTTGCAGCCTATGAATTCCCTCCTTGGCATTGTTCTTGGCTGCTGCTTCCCCTGGCGCCTGTGCACAGACACTAGCCCCCCCTCCCATCTCCAGCCCCACTTACTCCCTCTCTTTGACCATGGGGCTGCCCATAATATCCTTCATCCCCTTGATCAAACGAATTATTTTGTGGCAGTCCAAGGGCCCGTGTTATACAGGTCGGACGAGATGATCACAGTGCTCCCTTCTGGCCTTCGAATCTATGAATCTGCCTCATGCTGCTCTGCCCTCCTCTTAGTGCTCTGAGTGGGGTTCAGCAAAGCACACTGCTTCATGGAGAACGTAATATTGCAAGCGCCTTAGTTGCAGAACGGTGCTTTTAGCCATGACTGATGTTTTGTATAACTGTTTTTGTACTAATGTGGATGGTGGCTGACACTGAAATCGGGATTTGCGAGATGTTAGCCCCTTGCCAGGGCACCTGTTAGCGTTTCACTGCCAGCCGCCTGTCTTTGCTTCACAGTGCACTGGTTAGCACGGCTGGCGCAGGGACCGAGGCGCTGCACACGCGTCACGCATTGGCCAGGTGTGTGCCTGTGAGGTGCACATGTGTTGCTCACTGCACCGCTGGCTAACATTGCTCACACGCGGCCCTGGGAGCTGCTATAAGATGCTAAATAGCAATTGGGGTTTTACTATTCTGCTGTTTGTAACCTGGCCTATTTCCATGCTATTAAAGTGCAGCTATTATAACCTCCAACTGTGTCACTTTCCTCTTTGGAGAGAGGTTACTGCAGGAAAAACACTAGCTAATAAAGTTGTTCTGTTTAAAAGCCACATCATGACTAGGGGCTGTGGCTGTGTTGGTGATATCTCCTGGCTTGCTCAGAGGGGAGGAGGAATAGACAACAGAAAGATCTATGCAGAGTCCCTAGAAAAGGTAAGTTTGCGGGGGGTTTATTCACTCAAGCTATAATCATATGAACAGCAGGGATGGCTGGTGCCCAACAAATGTATTCAATGAATCATTGTTCAACCATTAAGCATACAGGGATTTAAAATCATCTTACTCACTGTAAAAGAAGCCTGTTCCCTGGCATCGTAACCACTGCCTACATTAAGGGAAAGAAATTCACACACTGAGCACATTAAGATCAGTTGCTTTCTCTCTTTCTAATCGCTGCTCCATGGTACAGACAATAGCTTTTCAGTGCTGGGCATTTCCAGCACCTCTTGCTAGCAGCAGGTGCTATTATTCACACTGAAGGAAAGATTCCTGCATGGCCGGGAGAGTGAGCTATGTTCCCTCGTGAAATGCTGGTTCCTCTCAAGTGCTAACACTCTTGCAAACATACCCCAGGGCAGGATTTCCCAAACTCTGGGCAGCTGAGCCACCATCAGGAAACAAATCCACAAGCATCTCCTTTCAGTTTGGCCAGGTGCTGTAAAAGGCCTACCCAAAATAAGGGCTCCCCTAAGCAGATTGTGCAGGTCTTCACAATATACGTCCTCTCTATTGTTACACGTTTTGGAGACCAGTGATATAGTTAACAATGGTGGTATGTAAAGTACCATCATTGGTTTCTGAATTAGCACTCAGTGAGGTGAATAGAACAGCTTGGTCTTCAGCACTATTGTTTCAGGCTCTCTGCAGACTCAGGCAGACAGACATTACAGCATTGGTTACACTTATGTTATGTGTTGAAGGTTTTCTTTGCAATTGTAACAGCTCGAGATGAACTCTTTTTTTAAAATGCAA